CACTTCTCTTGCACTGCTTTCAAGATTTTTCTCTTTGTCTTTTGACAGTTTGATTATAATGTGGCTCTACAAGAATATCTTTTGAGTTCATCCTACTTGGAGTTCATTCAGTTTCATGGATGCTTTTATTCATGTAAACCTAGGATATTTCGGCCATTATTTTTTTAAAGCATATCTCTGCTCTTTTTTCTCTCTTTCCTCCTCTGGGGTTTTCACAATAAATAGGTTGATTTGCTTGATGGTGTCCCACATGTCCCTTACTCTCCATTCAAGTCAACCTTTTTTTCTTTTTGTTCCTTGGACTTGATAAATTATCTTTGAATTCACTGATTCTTTCTTCTGTCTTTTCAAATCTACCTTTGAATCTTTCTGGTGAATTTTTCATTTCAGTTATTATAATCAGCTTTAGAATTTAGTTTTGATTTCTTTTTAGTTTTTCTATCTTGTTACTTCCATTTTGTTTGTATATCATCTTGTAGACCATCTTCATGCCCTCTGTTAGTTTTTTGGGCATCTTATTTTGACCTATCTGAGGGATATTCCTGTTGGTTTATTTATTTTACTTTGAATGTCCTATGCTTTCTTATATCTTTCTATGCCTTGTGATTTTTTGCTAAAAACTGGGTATTTGAATCTATTAATATGGTAACTCTGAAGTCAGATTCTCCCCTTTCACCAAGATTGGCTGTCTTCTGTTTTTGTTTTTGACTGTTGTAGGTTGTTTCCATGCCAAGAATCATTCCAAGATAAAAACCTAAGGTCTTAGGTCTCTTCTAAATCTGTGCCTTTCCTTCGATATTTGTGGTAACTTTCTATTTTATTTCATACATGATGTTGTTTTTGATTGTCTTAGACTTTAATGTCTGGCTCCCAAGGGTGAGGGGACAAATGAAGGTGGATAAAGAAAACTGGTCAGTTCTTTAAATTCTCTGGAAGTGCCTTCAGCTGGGAAAGAAGGGGCCTACAACAGCTGTGCATGTGTGTCCCAATGGCTGCCCAACCTGTGTCTGCACCTAATGATCACAAGTAGCAATCAATGATCAGAACATAGATCCACAACAATTAGAGAAGAGAGACATTTCTTTCCACCTGTTTCCACAAGCTGCACATGAATTACCTCAAGAATACATGCATGATTACCTGCCATGTGACTGGGCTTAGGGGATAAGCTACAAACTGAAATTATCTTCAGTTTGCTGTCCAAGGATTCCTTTGGAAGATGTAATCCTTAAGTAGACTCATCAGACAGATTCTACCAATGCATTTGTTGTTTAGGTCAAGAGACAGATTTCTGGTGCTTCCTACTTCACCATCTTCCCAGAATCTTCTGGTGAAATAGCCTTTGATAATTTATTTACTACACCAAGTATCTATAATGGGKAAGTTGGGGCCCTGACAGATAGAATAGTGCATCACATAAACCAGCAACCAATACTGATGCTGTTTTTCTTATAGCAAGGACTTAGGAGTTAATTAAGAAAAGTGCAAGTGGCTCCTCTTACAATTATATCTAATAATCCACTTGGAGAATTTTTGCTTTTCATTTCTGCAACTTAAGGCATTTCTAATTTAAAAGTCTTAATTTACAAGAGGAGAGTTCCAAGGGACACAAGAATGGTTCCCTGAACTGGAAATTGAGATTGTTACTGGACACTTAGGTCTCTTATTTCACTAAACCAACAGTCAGGCAAAGAAGGGCTTACTGTATTTGCTGGGTGATTGATACATATTCCTAAAGTAAACATGATTGTTGTTATACACTGAGGAAGGTTATATATATATATATATATATATATATATATATATATATATCTGAAATCTAGGGAATTATCTGGTGCTCACCTTCAATTCCATGTCCTTTACTAAAAGTAAAGAGCCATAAGCAACCCAATAAAAGCAGGACTCCCTTCAGGAGTGAAGGTTTAGAATACTAAACCAGTAAAAAAACCCTAATCAGCTGAGGTGGTAGGTGAAAGCAAAGGAGCATTGAATGGGTGATGGAAGGCTTCACCAATATCCATTGTGGTTTCCTGATCAATTAAGAAGAAACTATTGCAATAAGTATGAATATTTTCATATGCATTTCTTCTTTTTTAGTTTTATTGTAAGCAAGTATGTGCATATGGATAAATACTGCATATATAAATTGTTAGTGGTGATTGATTTTACAACTTAGTTTTTAGGTTATAAAATAACCATAAATTTATTTGGAAGAGAACATAATGTCATCCAGAGATGAATACAGTAACTGATGAAACCTTGTCTCATCCCTTTTTAGAGAGGTCTTTAGTATTAGAGGAAAAGTTTCTTTAGGTTAGGTCAAAGCACATTGTGGTTACTATTGTTGTGTGGAAATTAAACATGGAGAAAAGGAGAGTGGATGTTAGGATTCCTAGGGGTCAGTGGTGCTAGTCATCAGACTATATGCTCTCAGCCATTACCCCTTCCTCTATGTTCTGCTATGTATATGGAGATACCCCCTAACTATACTTCCCAGACTGACTTTCCAATTGGTTTCCAGTTAGGTATTGTCAATGGAAGGGACAGGAGAGAGACTGGAAGGCAGAGCAGCGGAGAGGCATCTCTTCCTGTAAAACCCCAGTGGTAGTACTGAAGTGGCAACTGTGTTGGCAGAGGTCAAGGCAGCACATCTTCAGTATATCTAGAATTAAAGCAATGACCTCTCTAGAAGCACAGCAGCAGGTACAGACTTGTGGGCTCCAATTCAACAGTGTTAGTGGCTTCTGATCTCTAGGTATCAATCCTTCTTTCTTTTTGTTCATCCATGCCCCTCTTCTCTAATTGCTTGTCCAGACCTTCTAACACTAAGTAACCAACTCCCTCCTTTATCATTTGTGATGCTTTAGGTGAAATAAAGATTCACTGGGTGTGATTTTTAAAAAAATATTTATTTTTTAGTTGTAGTTGAACACAATACCTTTATTTTTATGTGGTGCTGAGGATTGAACCCAGGGCCTCACATGTGCAAGGCGAGTGCTCTACGGCTGAGCCACAATCCAAACCCCACTGGGTATGATTTTTAAAAGAGCCCTTATCTTTTAGGGACATCTGCTAGAGCATTTATACACAAAATTATATTAATCTACTGATTCATTTATGGCTGAATTCATTTTTAGCTGGATTCATTTATGGCTTGTTACATTCCAGATTTTTCTTAAGAATAATCTAGACTGAGTTATGATGGGGCATAGATAAAACAAGATTGGCTATGACTTCATAACTATCAAGTGATRCTCACTGGGTGATAGGTACATGGGAATTCATTTTACTATTAACTCTACTTTTATATATGTTTGAATTTTTCATATTAAAATATCAACTATTATCTCTCTCCTTAAGAAAGCAGAAATCCCTCTATTTGTAATACCTTAAGTGGTAGAATCTGACTRAGACATGTCTTGTCAGGGAGAAAGCTTGCTTGAAAATAGAGCCAACACAAAGGAAAACAAAAACTTGTTCATTTGTGTGAGAGAGCAGGTGACAGATTGAAAGAAGTTGCACATATGACCAAGAAATAGACAAGAGATGTACATAGAGTCCTGACAACATTCTGTCCACTCATATCTAGCTAAATGAATTCAGCAGGTTCATTTTAGGACTTTTCAGATACTAACCAATAATTCCCTTCTGTTTACACTAGTTAGAATTGGACTCATGTCACTTGAAAACAAAAGAATGAATCTAATGAAATCCGAATATAATGATCCCAACCCCCTTTAAGCAACTAACCAGCCACCATTATCACTATCATCTCCATCAAATTTTCCATTGTGGCTATGAATATTAACACTACATGACTTTCACTATCAACATCRGCATTCACTGGCTAGCTACTATGTGCACTGGATTTGTACCTAGGAGCTGAATACCAGAGATAGCAAGACAGAGCCCCTGCCCTTGAAGAACTCCTAACCTTCTTGGGGAGGCTATATATACCATCCATACATCTATCTAGTAGAAAGATACATAGATGGGCACTTGCCTTACACATGTATAGTACTGGGTTCCATCCTCAGCACCACGTAAAAAATAAATAAAATAAAGGCATGCTGTCCATCTACAACTACAAAATTTTTTTTTAAAAAGATACACACACATTTATGAAACATAAATCACAAAAGAGCATGCTCAGGACTAGACTAATTGGGAAAACACTGAATTCACCTGATACTTAGAGAAGGGAAGAAGTGGCAAGGGCTGAAGCAATCAGAAAAGGCTTCTGGCAAGGAAAGTAGGAGAATCTGAGCTGGGCTTTGGAATATGAACAGAATTTACATAAGAGAAGGGCTGGCAGGGGGCCATCTAGCACAGTGGTAGTATATTGCCTAGCATGCACATGGCTCTGGGTTCTATCCCCAATACTGAAAAAATAAAGAGAGAATCTGGAGTCAGATGAATTTAATTCAAATCCTGATTCTGTCACTGACTAACTTTGTAGCTTTGGGGAAATCATTTAACTTGTCTGTGCTTCAATCTCCAAATCTAAAAAATGAGGATGACAATAGTACACGTACCTTATAGTCACTATGAGGATAAAATGGTTTAACATATGTAAAGTGCTGAGGATAGTGTCTGGCACATAGCAAGCACCTCATATGTGTTATTATTAAGAGAGGAAGGTCCAGTACATTGTAGCCAGAAGGAATGTCTTCAACAAAGGTGCAAAGTAGGAACATACAAAGCTTATTTAGAAACTAGTAAATAGACTTACTCAGCTGGAGCTCATTAAGGGGACGTGTCTGGCAAGAATAATATCTACAGTTTACAAATGACCAGCAGAGGCAAAGGAAGCAGCTCACCAAACACCTGGGTCTCTCTTAACATTACACAGGAAAGAGGAGGAACCTATCCAAGTCCTTCCCTGGGAGCTTCAGTAAGTGGCCTTCCCTGTTTTGAGCATTCATGGCCTGTCTTTTGGCACTTCCAAGACAAAGGCTCCTGAGGGAACACACAGATAGACTCAAGGGTATAGAACTTACTGTTCGGTAACAGCCAAATTGGGTGGCAGGGAGGTGAGCCCATTGCCTGTGAGGAGCAGGACACGGAGGCGTGGCAGAATCCCCAGATCACAGATGGCCTCTGAAGTCAGGCTGTTGAAGGAAAGGTCCAAGAACTACCATGTGAAGACAAAAGGTGGGGGGAAAGAAGCACTGCGCGTGACCATAATGTTCTTACATGAGGTGAGAGCTGGCTACATTTTTTCCCTTTCTGGAAAGCACTATTACCACCCACAAGATCAAAAGCATCTCTGGATTAATGTTCAAAGCCTACTAGAGCCAGTTCCCAGCCTCTTTTCCGGCCTTACCTGTGACTGCAAACCTTTGTTTATCCTATGGTGCAGGCCAGATTGATCCCTCCCTGTTCTTTGCCCCACCTATCCCACCTACAGCTCCTGGCTTGTGCTTTTCACYGAAACCTCCATGTATCCAAACCCCAGCCCCAACTGAAAACTGCCTCCTTACGTAAAATTAAAAAAACAAAACAAAAACCTTTCCTAATTCCTCAACTAGATGGCATCTCTTCCTCCCCTGATTCTGAGTGTTTTATCTGAACTGCTCCAGTTATTTATCAAAGTTGGCCMTCTGAGACAGCTGAATATATGTATRGGGAATAATGATACAATTATACATTGTATAATAGGAATATTTTATACTATAGACATATGGATGTGCCATATATAATGTCTAGCACATAGTGGTAGACTAGAAACCCTTTGAAGTCAAGGATCAGGCCACTGGATCACTGTATTCTTGTGATCTAGCACAGGACTTGGCACAAAGTAGATAAATACTTAAAATTATTTGAAATTGTTTTATAAAGATAAAGTCCCCAAATGGTCACCCCAGTAGCAACTGCCTTCTAACTGCCCACCTCCAGTCATAATATGGTTGCCTGGGGTCCAGGGGCCAGTCGGGAAGCTATTTCTCTCCACGGAGATAAAGGCTAGTAGGATAAATGACATGTGCCCAATCTCTGTTCTCTCTCCTGAGCCTCTCTAGATACTTACTTCAGCTCTTCTATACAAGCTTGCTTCCTTCCTTCCACCCCTTTTCTTGTGCTCATCCCTGTATGGCCCCTCCACATTGAAGCCTATGGAATGGGCTGTTTTGGTGTCTTATGCAACTGGAGCACAAGAAAGGTCTCTAATCAGCCTCATCAGTGTCACATAGTCAGTCAGACATACACATGCTGCAGGTCACTGGGTTTGGTCTGATTCTGCTGTAGTAATTGACTGATTGGCTCTGAAAATCAAGGTGTAAGTCATGTCCATGTGAGTTGAACAAATTACATAACCTGTAATTCCTAGCTATATAGTGGAAATAAGTGGTTCTTGAGTAGTTGTAGCCTGTATCCTGGAGTCTAATACATAGTAAGTGCTTAATTAATGTTGGCTTGCATCATCATCCCTTCAAAGGTCAACTATATGCTGAAGGCTTCCTTCAGACCACTCCCTGCCCTCTGGGAGCACTCAGATGGCTTGAGCAGCTATACACACGCACACGTCTGTTAAGTAGCAATGCTGCTGGGACAGATGTCTGGACACAGACTCATAGGGCACAAGGAAAGAATGGTCAGGTCTATCAGGGATCAGGGCAGGTGTCACAGAGCTGGTGTCACCGGRGCTATCATCAGAGACTAGTAGGTATTCACTATATTGTAAAGGGCAGAAAGACATTTGGATTGGGAAGCAGCATAAAGCAGGAGGCCGCCTGGCTTGCTCTGAGAGCTGCAGTGGTTGAGGTATGACAGGAGCTACTAGGATGAGACAAGGCTCAATAAGATACATCAGGCCATGGAAAGCACCAAGCACCCTCATCAGCAAATTGAACATTTGAGGGTTCACACAAGAGGCCTTTCCCACTCGGCTGAAGCAAAGAGAGGAGGAAGGCCTGGAAAGCTGGCTCAGATCAGCCCAGGTAAAAGTGAGGGAATTTCTCTCCCTCATAACTCATATGTGAAGTCATCAAGACCTGTGGATTTTATCAACTGCCTTAAGATCCCTCCCACTTGTTCCCTCTAATTCTTCCTAGAACAGAGTCAGAATGGTTTTTCCTAAAATACAGTTCTAACCATGCCACTCCTCAGCTTAAAACTCTCCAATGGGTCCTATTATCCATAAGGTCTTAGCTCCTTTGCAAGGTTTCCAATGTTCTCCACAGTCTCTCTTCTGCCACCTCTCCAGGCACTTCTGTCATTACACTACACTGTGTCTCACTCTTCATTCCAACCAGGCTGAGCTGTTCCATCAGTGTTCCAGGTCAAAAGGAGCTGGCAAGCCAACACCTATGAGCCAAATCCAGCCTGATGCCTGTTTGCATGGCATAAGTTAAGAATGATTTTTACATTTAAAAAATTAAAATAAGGAAGAGCCGTGTGTTACATGTAGAAATTATGTGAAATTCAAATTTCAGCATCATAAATAAAGTTTTTGAAAGATGGCYATGGTCTTTGTGTACCTATCATCTGTGTCTGCTTTCCTTCTACAACAGCAGAACTGACTAGATATGACAGGTATGACTATGTATGCTTAGTTATGACCACATGGACCACAAAGCCTAAAATATTTTTCTATCTGGCCTCATACATAAAAGGTTTGTGGACTCCTGTTCTAGTTGCTTTGGTGATTTAAATTTGGATCCAAATTTGCTCTCCATGAAATTAAGGGCAGCTCAAAGAAATGAACATTTTTAAAATCACAGGTCATGGAATTTCAGAGCTGACCCAGAATAGTTCTGGAGAAGGTGAGTTACTTGGTCAAGAAGGCATGTCAAAATACTGGCAGAACTGATTAGAAACAAGGTCTTCTCACTGCCTGGGGAGGGATCCACCTGCACTGTTTTCAGATATGTCAGCAGAGAATCAAATCATGGTGAAGTTGAGTTTTTCTAAATTAACTCCTGAATGGGCTGGGGTTGTGGCTCAGCGGTAGAGCGCTTGTCTCACACGTGGAAGACCTGGGTTCGATCCTCAGCACCACATAAAAATAAATAAGTGAAATAAAGGTACTGTGTCCAACTATAACTGAAAAAAAAAAAAAAGAAATCTACTCTGGGCTCTTCCTCCTGGGCAGCCTTTCTGACAAACAAGGACAGAAGATTCCTAACTTGGCTAGTGTATCTGCTGAGTCACATCAAGTTTTATTATACATCAAAGTATTCATTACTGTGAGCTGCAAATTCATGATATATGACAGGTTTATCCTTTTTTCTTGGGGAGCTCTTGCAAATCATACAGAGAAGAAAACAAATGACTAATCTGGAGATTTCCTTTTCTCATTTGTATTCTATACCCTAACTTTGGTCTATTCTCTCGTAAATAAACGCCCTTGGGTAAGGTTGGATCTGCTAGCTGAATAATCTTCATCAACTCAACCATGAGCAACTATTAGATCCCAAACTAGCCAGTTGCAGAGCCTGTGGTTGTGTCCCCCACTCTGGCCAATGGCACTTCAAACAAGGGTTTGGRATGGTGGGATGAAGGAAGGCATGATGCTTGGCATAATAACCATCACATAAGAGCTCACTGACTATTCTCTGAAAAAGTAAAACACATAAATGAAAAGTCTTAAGAGGCCCCCAGGCCTAAAGTGCTAGAAATAGCTTCCTGTATCTTTAGAGCATCTAGGACCCATTTCCCATTCTACACTAAAATCTACCATGAATTTTTTTTTAACATAGCACCAAACTGCATAAGTTGTTGTAAATTTATTTTCTCTTGATTTTTTTGGACTTTCCAGAGCTTGACTTCCAGGACAAGTCTGAGGGCCACTCCTGTCTCAACACATAGTCAATCACTGCTATCTTAAATGTGGCTTGAAGTCATGGGGGAGAAGTTACCATTACATTCAATATAGCATTCTTTAAGAATGCAGCCAGGCATGGTGGCACATGCCTGTAATCCTAGCTCTTTGGGAGGCTAATTGCAAGCTTCAGACCAGTCTCAGCAACTTAGCACAACCCTGTCTCAAAATAAAATGGAAAAAAAAAAAAAAAAAGCGGGGCTACGAATGTAACTCAGTGGTTAAAATTCAACTTAGGAGATGGCCATTTCAAGAGATCAAAACTTTTAAAAAACTCTGGCATATAAAGGCCATCAACTGAAAAAAGTCAGTCTTGTGGAAGGTGAAAGGTCCTTCTCTCTGATAAGAACAAGGTAAGTGAGACTTGTGTATATAATTGACCCTTGATGATTTCAGGTTAAATCATTGAAATTACCAATTCCTAGGTGAACACTAAGATCATGACATGCAGGCAGTTTCTAAGGTGTGAACTGGCAATGCTTTATCATGAGGTCAGCATGTGGGGAAGAGGCCACTCAGTGAGTGAGAATGAGCCTGGCCAGGTGCCCGGCCCTAATCCTGGCTCTTGCTCTTAATTTTCTATGTGCGGTGACCAACAGGTAGTTACAAAAATTGAATTCCTTCATGAAAAGTGGCCCTCGTGACTCTGTRAAAGTTGAAAAGCAATTAACTTGAAGTATGATGACATGCATGAAAAATGTCTTACTATGGGAATTTAATTTAGGAAAAAAAACAAGAGTAGAAACAAAATTTTCTATATTTTTGATGTGGGGTTTAGAGAATAGTTGCAGATGTGCAKATGTCTAGAGTCTGCTGCAGAACTCACAGGAGTCCTATTTTGTTTCATTCTTATCTCTGGGCCTATGAACCAGGCCTACAGACTGCTCTACCCCAGGCCACTATGATCCAGCTCACTCAGYCCAGGATGGGTCTTTGACATCAGTCCATAATATCACCATTTTAACTGGTCCAATATGTTGCACCTAGCTTTTAACTTCTATGGCTCTTCAACTCTTGCTGGATCCAGATCTCCCCTCAAACTCCTCCTCCTATGATACTTGGTTTAAATTCACTTTACTGCACAGACTCTCTTGAACATGAACGACCCTTAGCATTTATTTTCTAGGACCACACACTAATGGCCATAGGTATCATCCATCTTCCTCACTGCTATCACCACTACCATTATCATCACCACCACACCTATAGCCTCACCATCACCACCATCATCTCTGGATGCCAGCCATGAAGCAAAGGTCTGGATGTAAAGGCCCAGAGAGTCTCTTTGCAAAGCTGTAACTAGTAGAGAACCCCATATTCATACCTTACARGGAAATAGGTGGACACCAAAATCTCCCTACCTCCAACTTACTTCTAATAACTTAAAGTCTCCATATTTCACGTAGACTCTCTTGATGCCATTAAATGCGAGCTCCAGTTCCTTTAAGGCTGGAAATGAGTGAAATGCCTCTACATGGGAGAAAAGAAAGAGAGAATCTGCAGCTTGTAAAGGACTTAGGAGAAATGTATTAGTAATGACCATTCACTGGGTTCCCCCTGGATCAGATCAAGCACTGTGGAAGGTGCTTTATGTATATAACCTCTAAATCTCTAATAACCCTCATAATCTCTAATAAGGGATTATTACTTCCATTCTATGGCTGAGGAAATGGAGACTCAGACAAGATAAATAATTTTCTAGAAATGGAATTGGTGGTAAATGGAAAAAACAAGAATTGAATCTAAGTCTATCCATTTAAAATTTTTTTTATTTACCTATTTTTATAGTGCTGAGGATCAAACCCAGGACCTTGTGCATGCCAATCAAGTGCTCTACCACTGAGCCCATCTCTATTATTTGATTACAGAAGTTAAACATGTCTACCCAAAGTAGTCAAACATCACAGAAAAACAAAAGTTCCCTTTAATCCCAATACCCAGAGATAATGATTAAAAGTTTCATGTATAATACACCACTTTTTCATGTATAATACACATACTTTTTCTCATGCATATATTAAAATACATACACTTCTTAAGCTGGGATTGTAGCTCAGTGGTAGAGCACTTGCCTAGCATGTGTGAGGTACTGGGTTTGATCCTTATCAGCACATAAATACAAACAAATAAAGACATTCTGTTCATCTACAACTACCAAAAAAAATACACACACTTCTTTTTACAAAAATGGAATCATACCATACACATTGTATTCTGATGTTTTTTTCTCCTTAATAGTACGATGTGAACATTATTCCACATTAAAATATATAGATCTATCTAATGCTTTAATTATTTTCTGTAATTCCCCTATTGATAGGCTTTAGGCTATGTGGTTAAAAGATAATTAAGCTTTTCTCCCTCTGCATGAGAACTGGACCTTGGGTTAATTTTCTGCCCGTTTCTCTGGTAACGTGAAACAAATGCTATGGTAACTGTGTTACTAGGCAATAATGCTTTGGTAAAAATGCCTCCAGATTGGTATATTGCATCTGAAGCAGGAGAGACTATGAATAAACTATAAATACCTGAAAAAGATGCTTCCCTGTATGTGGTGACTTCTGTAACATATCCTTTGTGTGTGTGTGTGTGTGGGGGGGGTCTAGCTATGCCTATGGAGTATCACAAGGAATATTTTGACTCCTGTAGGCAATTAGCTAGCTAGCTTTCTCTCTATCTCTCTCCCACTCCCTCCCTTTCTCCCTCTCCCTCTTTCTCTCCTCTATTGGAGTTACATCCAGGGATGCTCTCCCACTGAGGTACATCTCCAGCCCTTTTTATTTATTAATTTTTTATTCCAAGACAAGATCTCATGAAGTTTCCCAGGCTGGCTTCAAACTTTGGATCCTCCTGCCTCAGCCTCCTGGGTAGGTGGAATTATAGGTGTGTGCCACTGCACCCAGGGGTAATGAGGTTTCTAAGCCAGGATGACCCCTGCATCCACCCAATAAAAATCTCATTGTCTCATACCTGAAGTGAYACCTGGGGCAGGCCTTAGAGAATGACTCATGGATGGCCATGGGGACAGCTTCATGGATGGCCACAAGGATTCCACAACAGAGAACTACACAACTGTGTAGTATTATTTTGAGCCTTCTAAGTGAGCTTAGTGTCCAGGGTGGCCTACAATAGGCTTGTGAGTCAAAAGGTTCAGTAAGGCCTAATAAATGACTGCTCTATGGGTATTTCAATGAACTTCCTTGCACAAGAGTGATTCTATTGAATAAATTCCTGGAACTGAACTATTCCATTAAAGCAATGCCTACTTATAATTTTGAGTGACACTGGAAAACTACCTCCAGAATGTCATGACAATGTACTATATTTCTACCAGTTGAATATACAAATATCCATTTCCATACCAACATGGGTTGTGAGTCCTTTTCATTTTTGCCAGTATATGATGGGCAGAAAATAGCATCTTGGAGTTGTTTTGATTATCAGCCTTACTGATAATCACATGCCTGTTGGTCTTTTTACTTTAAGCCCACACTTTGTAAGTCAAGAGACCACACTGTCTCCTCAAGGGCAGGGATCTCATTAGGTGTTTTGTTAAAATACCCTTCAAACTCAATGCAACAAAACGGACTCATCCTATGTCCTCCTAATCTGCCTCCCCCAAGTATGCTATCTCAGTGAGTATCCCCTTGATCCCTCCTTCCTCTCACACTCCCACTGCCTGTCAAGTCCTATAATTTCTGCTTCCTCCTGAGTCTTTCTCTTTCAATTCCCTTCACTCCTCTTGCCATACCCTGGCTCAGGTCTCATCTCTCAGGTTTCCTGGCCTTCATATTCTATTCTTGTAGTCCATCCTGCTAACAGCCACCAAGAGCTTCTCTGTTTAAAAGTCTACCAAGACTGTCTTTCACCTGCTAGATTAAGTCCGAGTCACTCAAGGCTCTTGAGGATAGAGTCCCTGCCACCTTCTTAAGTCTTCAAATTCCTAAGTCACTCTTATTGCCCTTTCTTTTTTCCTTTCCTTTTTTTTCCCCCTTCTGTTTGTCTTAGTTCAGGTTCATTTGTATTAATTCATATAGCCCTAATTCATTCTTCCTCTTCTCAGAAGTTCCTCCTAACTCTCCAGCCTGGGTTAAGTCCCACTTATATGCTTGTGTAGCATTTCCTGATTCCCTCTATCATTGCTTATATGTATCCTGCTCTGGCTATATTTAAGCCCATGTCTCCCACCAGACAAGTTCATTGGAATAGAAACTCGCTCCCTTCTAAAGGCCAAGCACTCACCAGCAGGGGTCACTGTGGATTTGCTAAATAACTAAGAAGGCTTTCTGTTTCTCTAGGAGCACTTACAGGCTGAAACATCTATCTCATCTCAGTCTGCAAGGTAGCCTGCAAAGGGAGGAAGAAGGGAATTATCCCCATTTACAGAGAGAGAGGCAGCAGCTCACAGAGAAATGCACCGATATGGGGCTGCCCTCGAGGTCTGTGTGCTCTCCCCGCACCCAGAATGTTGCATTCCACAAAACAGACAAGTGGCCAATCATGGATGGATGGACACAAATCTTAACACAAGTGACTGACTGTGCTAGCCAGGAGGTAGGAGACAGTTTTTCAAGAAGAAAGAGCTCACCGAGAGGGAGCAGGTTTTCTGAGGCATTGATATAAATCACAGAAGTAAAGTGCTTGAAGTCCTTTTCCTTCACCTGTAGGAAGACATTTCAGGAAAAACACAACATTAGTTCCCTAAAGAGAACCTTGTTGAAGCTTCAAAGCTGCTGTCAGAATGAACAAAGACCTAAAGGGACAAGAGCCACCCTTAGCACAGAGCAGCTATGTGTTAAGGGCTGTGARGGCTTTTCTGCTATGCTTTTTCTATTCTGAAATATTTCAAATGTAAGAAAAGCATAGTGACGGATACTCCAAAGACCTATGTAACCTTATCCAGTTTTAATAAACATGAATTTTTTGCTTGAAATTTCTTTAAAGATAGAAAACATTACAGAGGGTGACTATCGCCATCATAACCTCCCTCCAAGTTTCCCTCCCCAATCCCATAATAGCAATTTTGAATTGATGATCATCATTCCCATTCCTGTTGTATTATGTATAAATACCCAAATATGGGGGTAGATTCAGCAACCATAAATAGTGTTGTTTTCATGCTTTTTTTTTTTGTACCAGGGATTGAACACAGGGGCATTCGACCACTGATCCACATTCCTATCCCTATTTTATTTAGAGACAGGGTCTCACTGAGTTGCTTAGTGTTTTGCTGTTGCTGAGGCTGGCTTTGAACTCACGATCCTCTTGCCTCAGCCTCCTAGGCCTCTGGGATTACTGTTTTCATGCTTTAAAACTTTCTATTAAGTAAATTATATGGTAGATATCTGTTCTGCAACCTGCCTTTTCACTCACTGATACGTTTTTGAGATTGACTTGTATTGATACATGTGGCTTTTTTTTAAGAGAGAGAGAGAGAGACACACAGAGAGAGAGAGAGAGAGAGAGAGAGAGAGAGAGAAAATTTTTTAATATTTATTTTTAGTTTTCGGCGGACACAACATCTTTATTTGTATGTGGTGCTGAGGATCGAACCCAGGCCATACACATGCCAGGCGAGCACGCTACCACTTGAGCCACATCCCCAGCCCTACAGGTGGCTTTTTTGACATTATTTGTGTTGATACATGTAGCCCTAGTCCATCCATCTAAATTCCTTGATAGTGTTCCATTATTTGAGTATGTTAAAAGCTATCCTTTCCCAATGGATGCACATTTAATGTATTTCTAATTTTTCATTATTACAATAATTGTTTCTCTAATAACTGTTTTCTCTAATGACATACTCATATCAGATTGCAGGCTCTTGTGTTGGAAACTCAGTGTTATACAAGGAATTGCACTGGATCAAAATTCTACAGGGCAAACTCAAAACCAGATTCATAAGGTAAGTTCCTTTAATTCATATCAAATGAGACAATGACAATACTGAATTGATAGCAAACAAAAAATTTGTTTCTGGATGGGTGCCATGCATGGTGCACACCTGTGATCCCAGGGGCTTAGGATGCTGAGACAGGTGGATCGCGAGTTCAAAGCCAGCCTCAGTAATAGTAAGGTGCTAAGCAACTCAGTGAGACCCTATCTCTAAATAAAATACAAAATAGGGCTGGGGATGTGGCTCAATGGTCGAGTGCCCCTAAGTTCAATCCTCATTACCCCCCACCCCMAAAAAAGTTTGTTTCTGAGTACTGTTTTCATTCATTGAGTCTTTGCTGGCCTTTTCTGCCCTCCTTCCACATGACCATATTTTCAGCCCCCAGGGACTTCGGAGGCATAACAAATAAAACTAGAATAGCAAGTGCCACTTCAGATCTGGCTCACCCAACATCTTTGCTGCTGGCCTCACCTGGGATAACTTCAATCCACTCACGTTGATGCTGCACAGGTCTGATGGTTTCCTCACATGGTGGTGCTTCAGCTGGGACACAGGACAAAGAGTCAGCTCTTGAGGCCACAATAAAATGTAATTAATTAAGCTATTTTTGTTCCGTGTTGTCTTATTTGGGAAAATCCCATAGTCTATCATAATTTGCTTATTAGTTTGTTCATTCATTCATTATTTTTAAAAATATTTTTCTTAAGTTATAGATGGACACAATGACTTTATTTATTTTTATGTGGTGCTGAATATAAAACCCAATGCCACACACATGCTAGGCGAGCGCTCTACTATAAAAATTCTTTATTTATCTATTCATTCACCAAATATTTATTTAGCACTACTTTGGGCCATATCCTATGCTAAATATATTAACAAACTTTCTTCTAATCCTAACCAAACCCTTTGACATAGGTAGCATTATCTTCCTTTTTAAATGAGGTTAAGAGATGTAAAGTGTCTTGCCTAAGATCCTACAGCTACTAATTGATAGATCTATGATTTGAATCCAAATCTGTAATCTTTAAATACTATGCTCTGTTGCCTACCACATCACACTACATAATTAAAGAGTTAGAAGTAAATCCCAGCTTTGGAACTTCTGTATGTGTTTAATGGAACCTCCAACCTTTGTTCTGTTAATTATGATACCTCTTTGTTATATTTAGTCTCTGAACTAAGTATTGGGAAGACAATGGAGAAAAAGCAGGAACATGTCATGACTTCATGGAGCTTACAATCTCTTGGGAAGCAAAGTAGCAAGCAAGCATTTATCAATGTGATAAATATTTTAAAGGAAAAATTCAGGATCCTATGGGAGACAGTAACAGGAGGTCCTAACTTCAGCCTGAAAATGAGGAAATACTTACTTAAGAAAGTAAAATTCAGCTGAGACTTAAAAGCTAAATAGGAGTTGGYCCTATGAGAGTGGGTGGTAGGGATTGGCAAGAGAAAGTGAGGTGCTTTTGAGAGGATGAAAACCACAACAAAGTTAGAGAGGCAGTCCTTAGATCATGTGGGTCCATGTTGGCTCTGTGAAGGAGTGTGGGTTTTATTCAATAACCAATAGAAAGCTGTCAGAGATTTTTTTTGGCAGGGACTTATAGTAGTTTTATAAAAATTGGTAAGTCTGATACACATTGAAAAGGAAAAAAAGTCTGATACACATTGAAAGGATGAAAGAACAGGAAACATCACTGTTGCAGGCGCTGTTACCTTCCCAGTAATCACTTTTCTATATCTTCCTTATTACAAACACCAATGTTATTCACATTTCTCCAAGTGGATATGTTCTTAAGCCCCAGCTGCAAGGGATAAGTTTTAATCTGTCTAAGCCAATCACAGAGGTCTCATTCCTCTAATGGATAACTGTGATATAGGTCTGGCCAATGAGATACTGGCTGCTAAGTGTAGGGGTGGGTAACCAGAAAAATACTTCTAAAAATAGACATAAAGCAATGACCATCCCTTCTCTACTCTKAATATTATCCTCTATATGTAATGACTGGAATTGCTGCAGCCATTTTGGGACCATGAAGTCAATTAGCCCAAAGGACATATCAATGTCCTGAGATTGGCAGAGCAGAAAGATGGAAGGAACATGATTCTTGGAAGATGTTATGAAACCAGTAAATTAGTCTACACTAAACAATGTCTCTGGCTTGTTTTTATATGGAAAAAAAGCATCACAATTGGTTCAAACTAGTTAGGAAGTTACTGGATTATCCTAATAATAGATGATGGTGACCAAGTTAAGGATAATGACAGCAGAGATGAAAACACAGACTGATAACTCCTTATTAACTGCCAGGACTTGGATAGGAAGGAGAGGCCAGGATAAAGTGAAACCCTAGGTTATTGGCTTGGTAACTTGAGTAGACAGTAGTGCCAAAATAGAGATAGTATAGTAAATAATGGAAAAAGCAATTTCCTGGACTTGGAGTAGGACAATTGTGTGGTAGTTCAATATGAATTGCCAGTGAAAAACTCAAGTGAAACAATCCAATAGGTAGTGTGGATACCTCATTACTTTAAAAAGCATTGATGTTGCTTCTGCCACCCAAAGTGGCAACTCAGGTAGCAAGCTATACTGATTAAATGTGGAAATGTATATGTATAGTCGTCCCTCAGTATCTGCTACATATTGGTTCCAGGACCTCCCTTGGAAACCAAAACATATGGATGTTAAAGTCCCTTAAATAAAATGGTACAATATTCATACATAATGTATGCACATCCTCCTGCATACTTGAAGCATCTTTAGATTACTTATARTATCTAGTACAATGTAAATGATAGATGAATAGTTTATACTGTACTTTTTAGGGAATAATGATAAGGAAAAAATTTGCATATGTTCTATACAGACAACGTTTTTGTTTTGTTTTTTGTTTTTATGTTTTGAATCTGTGGATGTGGAAACTATTGACATGCAGGGCAAACTATATTTGGATATGAGGAGGGGAAAGACCACTATGGAAAGTGTTTGTCCCTCCTCAGTACTGCTGTTTCAGTCTTCCTCATTCTCAATGAGAAATGGAAATAATGAAACAAATTCCATACGTTCTGCAAAGAACTGGTATTACCCAACTGAGGAAAGACAAAACCAACAAAATCTCTTTCAACCTCTGATCTATGCAGACACCCATCTCTTGGGAACCGTAAGTAGAATCTAGGAACAAAGTTGCTGTCGGAGAGTTCTTCTCAGGGAGCCTTGAGTGTTGGATTGGCCATTAATATTGACATACAAAATGTGTCTTTCTTTGTAACTCCACTGAGGCATTGCAGAAAGCAGATGTGAAGTTACCTGCTCGTCTCCCATACAGCCTCCCTGCTGTCTTCATAAAGCCTGGCCCAGGCTTCAAGTAATACCTAGTCAACTCTTAGCTTTCAGCAAGACATGAAAGCCAAAGACAATGACTGGGAAAGGAGGCCCTCCCAATCCCATTTGGTCCTGATGAAATCACTGTATGTCAGAACAGAACAGGAATCTTTCTACCTATTAGGTGTGGAATGGGATTCTCAGTGGACTCCTTCCCTGTGAACAACTTACTCCTTTGTCTCTCCAACTCAAACAAGAGATTTTATTTTAGAGTGTATAGGCCAGATTTCTAATCTTGGCCCAGCTACTTACAGGCCATAGTATCTCAGCAATAGCAATTTACCTCTTGGGGCCTTAGTTTTCTCATCTACCCAATGACAACAATAATAGGGATGACAATACTGTGTCTATCTCATGGGGTGAACATAAAGAAGGCTTCCCATCTAAAGAAGTTTTGGGTCCCTCCATCATTCAGGCTGTATTTGCCAACACTACTCTCATAATTTGGAATAGGCTGTGGGTAGCTGTACCAGAGCAGAGCAACTCCTTGCCCCCAACTCCACCCTCTTCCTCAGCTGATGCTGCCAGCCACTCCAGGATGTGTTTGCTCTCACCAGAAAAGCACGATCCAGGAGATGTCCAGGAACGTCCCCTTGACTTTCCCGCTGAATCCTTTTCTTCCCCACACCATCAAAAGAAACCTTCTTTGGGCATTCCTGACCTTCAGTGGGTGCCTCAACCATTCCCTTGGGCTTCTTCTTGAGGTTACCTTTCCGAGTCACTAACCAATGTCCTAGTCCTGTTGGGAAGATCAGTTCAGTGAGAAGGGGTACACTCCTCCGAAGCTGTGAGTGCAATTATAAGATAGTTATCTGTAACACTAAAATAAAAATTAGCTCTTGATTACATAATATGCACCAGACTCTGCACCACTGCTGGGTAGGGGTGTTTACATATTTATCTCATTTAACTGGCACACAAGCCCAGTGAGGGACATATTACTGCCCTTATTTCAAAGATGAAAGGGCTTAGACTAAAAGAGGTAGAATAAACTGCCCAACTCTTTACGTAATGTGTTTTATATCCAAACTCTACTGTTTCTTTGAGACCCAAGATCAAGTATTTCTTGTTCTGTAAAGTCTTCCCAATCCCCTCTTAGGAAAACAGGTCCCAGTTACTCCTCCATTGTCATCTCTTAGGTAAAACCAATGTGTGACCTTAATGGTGTCCATCTTCCCAGACCATCATGAAAGACTGTGTAAGGAACTCAAAATAGGAAAATGACAGGGTAGTTGGCATTTAAAACAAACAAGCAAATAAACAATAAATGTTCATTATCAAAAGAAGTGGAAAATTTATGTATGCAAAAAGAAGAGTATGAAGTTTACTGGTAAGACCACCTACCAGAAACCTGCTTTCTCTTATATTAGCAGTTTATTTACTGACGGCTTTCATTGCAATTTGTGATTGTTTTATTTATTGCTTATTAGTATCCATCTCTCCTCCCAGAGTGGAAGCTCTGTAACAGCAGAGACTTAATCGGATTCCCTCATCTCAGTATTCCTGAGGCCTGCATAGCGCTTATCATGTTGTGACTGTTGCTGAATGAGTGTCTTAATGAACTCTTGAGACATAGCAATACAATACAATAATCTATTTATACCTTTTCTGGGCATCTACATTATTTTGGAAGCTGGAGTTATATGAATAAATAAAACAGAAGCCCTGACCCCCCAAAACTCAATAATATATTAGGTGCTCTGGAAGCCCAGAAAATAAGCAGAATCTAGTAAATTGAAAGTAGTTCACTAATGGAGATTTAAAAAAAAAAAAAAACAACAGGCGGTCTAGGCAGAGCGAAAAGAATAAGAAATAACTAGAGGTAGGAAAGATCAGAACAGCATAGCTATGGAAAACAGTGTGGTGCCTCTAACACCAGCTGTTTTCTGAAGCAGCCCCTACCTTGCCTCAGGGGCTCCCTCCCCAATCTGATCACTGGTGCCAATCCTGCTTCTTATGTGAGTCACTCTGGGCCTGGCAGTCCAAGTAACCAGTTTYACAAGCTGCCCCTAAAGTCCTGGACTTTGATTCTCCCTTACCCTATCCTCATATCCTTGACTCCTGGAGACTTTTAAGTTGGTGCCAAAATTCTCAATGTGGCCAAAAGGTAAGGCCTGAAGTGTGTCAGGAGATCAACATGAGGAAAAAGAAATGAGGCTGGAGAGGTCAGCAGAGTCATGAAAAGTCCCCTAAGCCAGGTAAAAGGTTGTAATGGGGTGGCTTCTAGCAGAAAGGGGATCCAGAGAGAGGCTTTTTTGATTTGTTTGTTCCTCTGTAATTTTTCATTTTGAGATAATCTTAGACTTCCAGAAAAGTTTCAAAAACAATACAGTGTTCTCTTGCAGGCTTTACCCAGTTTCCCTAATGTTTACACCCCTAATGTTTTCATAACACAGATAATGAAACCAAGTGCTAAGATTTTGATATGAGATGTCCCCCGAAAGTTTCTGTGTTTCTGAAGGAACATTCAGAAGTGAAATGGCTGGACTATGTGAACTATAACCTAATCAGTCCACCCAGTTTGAATGGACTGGTGGTAACTATAGGCAGGCAGGGTGTGGTTGAAAGAGGTAGGTTACTTGGGGCATCTTCCCTGTGGCTCCTTCCCCACCCTCTCTGCTTCCTGACTCTGCCTGTGAGCTGAGAAGCTTTCCTCCACTGCTGCTCTTTTTTCACGATATTCTGCTTCCTCTTGGATCCAGACCAATGGAATCAGCAACCTACGGACTGAGGCCTCTGACACCATGAGCCAAAATAAACGTTTCCTCTACTGTTATTGTTGTCAGGTATATTGGTCACAGCAATAAAAGAGCTGACTCAAACAGAAATTGATTCTGAGAAGCAGGGTTAATGCTGAGACTAACATGACCATGTGGTACAAAAGCCTTTGGAAATTGTTTGAGGGATGAATTTGGAAAAGTTTGGAAATGCAGGCTGGAAAAGCCTCAGCACATTGTAGACAGAGCTTAATGGGCAATCCCTATGGTTGTACAGAAGACCAAAATGCCAACAGGAATACAGACTCTGCTCATGGAGTTTCAGAGGGAAATGAGGATTCTCTTGGGAATTGAACTCGAGGCCATTTGTATTACATTTGGCAAAGAACTTATCTACATTGAGTTTCAGAGGAGACTTTGGACTTGGGCTTTGGGCAATGCTGACACTGTTAATCCCTGTGGGACTCTTGGGGTCTAAATGCATTTGCATTTTGAGATAGACTGAGATTGGGGGGCAGGGGCAGAATGTTATGGTTTTGAAATGAGGTGTCCCCCCAAAGCTCCTGTGTTTCTGCAGGAATATTCAGAGGTAAAATGAGTGGACTGTGTGGTAATTGCAGGCAGATGGGGTATGGCCTGGAAGAAGGAATCTTCCCTGTGAGCACTTCCACCCCCAGCCCTTCCCCTGCTTCCTGGCTGTCATGAGAGGAGCAGCTTTCTTTGCCATGCCCTTTCTCCATTATGTTCTATCTTACTCTGAACCCACAACATTAGAGTCAGTCATCTGTAAACCTTTGATACCATGAATGAAAATAAATTTTTCCTCCTATAAGTTTTTCTTGTTGGGTATTTTGGTCATAGCAATGTAAAAGATGACTAAACACCAAGTAATTAACATTGGTACAGTATTGTTACTAATCTGAGCCTTTCTTTGACTTTTGCCAGTTTTCTCACTAATGTCCTTCATCAGCTTTTCCAGGATCTCACATTGCATTTGGCTGTCATGGCTCCTTACTCTGTCTAATTCATGACAATTCCCCAGTCTTTCTTTTTCCTGTGTAATCTTGACACTTATGAAGAGTACTTGTCAAATATTTTTGTAAAATGTCTCTCAGTTTGTACTTGTTTGATGTTTTTTTCCCCCAAGATTAGATTAAGGCTTTGCACTTGGCAAAGCTACCACAGAAGCAAAGTTGTGCCTTTCTCAGAGCATCATTTCAGAGAGTTCATAAGGTCACTGAACCCTATTTCTGGTGATGTTAATTTTGATCAGTTAAAGTGGTCTCTGCCTGGTCTCTCTACTGAGAAGTTACTATCTTTCCCTTCAAAATTAACTAATATACATTAAGGTTATTCAAATGTCCTATTTCTCATCAAACTTACTTTATCATTTGCGATAGTTATATGTCAGCTTCACTAGGGTATAATATACAGTTATTCAGTCAAACACCAATCTAGGTATTGCTGTGATGATATTTTGTAGGTGTAACTAATATCTACAATCACTTGGTATTTAGTAAGAGACTGTACTTGATAGTGGAGGTGGCTATCACTCAATCCATTGAAAGACCCTATGAGCAAAAGCTGGGGTTTCTCCTTCAAGTTTTCCTGGAAGAAAAAGAAATCTTAACTCAAAACTATAGCATTAGCTCTTCCTCAGAGGTTCTCCATATCTCTTTCTCCCCCCCCSCCCAACTAGTCCTGATTCTCTGAGAACTCTGAGACAACATCCATGGTTGTTACCTGCAAAAAATTACTATGATGTTTGAATAGTGATTTCCTATTTCATTTATTCTACATTTATTAATTGGATTATATTGTAAGGAAGGGCTTTTCCTTCTCCCCCATTTACTTATTCAAATACTTATTTGCATCAGTATGGACTCATGAATATTTATTTATCCTATGGTTTACAATTCACTCCTACCGTTATTTATTTCATTGCCCAGATTGTTCCAGCTTTGGCCATAAGCTCTCTTGTTTGGTTCCTGTGTCCTTTCAACCTGCTCCTGTCATTTTTCTGAGTACTTCTTTATTTTCTGGCATCACAAGCTGTTCCAGGCTCAACTTGTATTTTTTCCTGCCCCAGSCCTGCAAACATCGTTTTCTCTGAGGATCCCTTGTTCCTTTCAGCGCAGACAATATTTAGAAACCATGATCTAAGCAATAGTTACGTTCTTCACTACTGAGGTGTTGTTGCTCTCAGTGGACAAACATATCTATACAACACACACAGATATATGCCTATATTTATTTCTGTATCTCTCCATCTGTAGTGAGTGTGTGTGTGTGTTGTGCGTGTGTGTGTGTGAAAGAGAGAGAGAGAGAGAGACCAACCATGAATTTATACTGATAAGCTCCATTGGAAGCGGGGGCCAGGGAAGGTTCCTATGTGAAAAATAAAATATTCAAGAGAAGTGGGGAGAAAAGAATGGAGAAGAAAGTTCTTCCAACATTCTATGTAAGTTGTTTCCCCTTGTCTAAGGTTTCTGTGGTTTCAGTTACTGGCAATCAATAGCATTCTGAAAATATTATATAGAAAATTCCAGAAATAAATAATTCACAAGTTTTAAACAACTTTTAGTATACTATATTGTTAAAATTGTTCTGTATGACAATTATAACAATATATACGTTAATCTCATACTATATCTAATTTTTATAAACCAAACTAGGGTTTGGGCTTTCCACAGTTTCAGGTATCTACTGAGGTCTTGGAACATATCCCCCACAGATAAGAGAGAACTACTTTCTACTTATAGTGACTAATAAGTCACTACTCTGGCATAAACAAGATTACTTCTCTCTTGTCCTACCCTTTCAAAGCAACAAATATAATTCATTTATATGACCATGGTCCATCTACAGGTTTCTGCTCACTGTTAGGAAGAGTTCCTGCTCCATGGGGAGCTTTTAACTACATAAACATTTGAAACTCTATTCAGCAGAAGTCAAGCTTAAGCCACTTTATTTAGAAACTGGGTAGAATATCATCAATAAGAGACAAAGGCAGAAAGATACACACAAGAAAGAATGAAGGCCGGGATAGTCAGATAACTTACTGGAAAAAGTAGGAGAAGGGTGGTGCTTCATGGATGGAAAGAGTTTGGCTAATTGGAATGAAGGCTAGAACATTCAGGGAAAATAAAAAAGCTACATGAAAATAGCACTGTGGAATAGGGTATGGGAATGGGGTCATAGAAGACAGTAAGGGCAGGTTATGCTGGGAATGACAGAATACCTGCTAAAGGAGTCAGGCAAGAAAGCCACTGAACAAAAGTGGGCACTGTAGTTAAATACACACTGTAGAAGTCTCACTAGGAAAGATGGGATAGGAGGGGCTGGGACTGGGGATCAGTGGTAGAGCACTTGCCTAGCATGTGTGAGGCACTGGATTAGATCCTCAGCACCACATAAAAACAAATAAAAGAAAGTTCATTGACAACTAAAAAATATTTTTAAAAAAGATGGATGAAAGGGTATAGGCTGGTGGGGAGGGGCAGGAGGGAGTAAAAAGACTGGAAAGGAGGACATGATATGAGGAGCAGTGTGAAGCAGGAGCGGATGTGAGGAAAAGGTACCAATTTGAGAGACACCTGACCTTCCTCTGGTATCCGAAGTAGACTTTTGGCTGGAAAGCAGTTGCTGACGTAAGGCTTCCCTTCATCCAGCTTGTAGACTCCAGAGGAGGCCATCTCCCTGAGGGCCAGCAAGGACAGTGAGGAGTCAGAAGAGCAAGAAGGAGCAGCAGAGCTCTCTCACCCCAACGTAGCTTATGAGCCCACCACCATGTCTTCCCTCTGAGGCCCAGGAGGCCCACTGCCCTGCTTTAGAAATGGCCTGGCCATTTAGATGAAGAGGGAGACAAGGCCCTGGGTTCCCAGCTCAAATCAGTCCCAATACAGATAGTTGAAAGAGCATTGCCTTTAGGCTCAGACAGACCTGGTTTGATTCCCAGCTCTGTCTTAACCTTATTATGACTGAGCAAGTTACTCTTATCCTTCTGCACCTCAGTTTCCTCACCTGTAAAACAAGGGTGATAATCCTACCTTAATAGAGATATGACAGGGTCAAGTAAGAAAGGTGCCTAACACATTTTAAGTCATCACTAGAACTTATCTATGTTTTAACAGAGTTGAGAGAAAAGGGGGCTCATATTATAATAACAGATGATATGTTCATGGGATTTGAAACAAATACATAGGATTTGAGGAATGAATTGAGTTTACTGATAGAAAGATAAATATTCCAAACAGAAAGATCCATATGATGGACAGAATGGTGGTGTGCAGTAAAGAAACAACCAATATCAGGAAGGGCAAGGATGTGTTTGGGAGTCTTGGACAGTAAGGCTGGACAGAAAGGATTGTGCCTGCTCCTGACAGGCATTTATGTCAGGCTAAGAGCTCAGGCTTTATCCTGTAGGTGACTGAGAGCCATGAATTATTTCTGAGCTGAATAGAGCCATGACTCAAGCTGTGCTTTTAGAAAAAAAGGACTGACAAAAATAGTAGAAAAGTGGCAACTGTGACTGCAGATAGGGGAGGATTATGGCAACTCCGGGGTGAGCTGAGGAGGGTCCATGTAGACAACTGAAGAATTAAAGAAAGAAAAAGAAAAAAAAAGGAAGGAAGAGAGGGAAAGGAAAAAGAGGAATAAGACCAACTGGAAGTATGAGCACTAAGGAGGAACAATCCCTGGAGGATTCTGAAAAAATTTTTAGAGAAGTAGAAGGACCTAGAGGTAGAAGGTGGGCAGGGAGCAGTCAGATAAATGAAAGGAAGTGAAGAGCTAAGAAGCTGGGTAAGGTGAGGCCGTGAGGATGTAGGAGGTCAGTTTTCAGGGAAGGATAGAATTAAAGTCTGACTTTCACTATGTATGGAAGAGTAAGTAGAAGGTGAAGAAGTGCACAAAGTGAGTGTAAGTTTTCCAAGAAGGTTGACTCTGAGAGAGAGAGAAAAGATTCAGCTGGRAAGGAAGGCAAAGTCAAGAGATGGGTAGACAGCAGGGCAAGACAGGGGAAGTGAATGAGGTGCCTTGGGAGCCTTTAAGGAGGCACTTGCTTTCTCTCAGAGGGGATAAACACAATGTCAGCACTTGCCTCCACCCTTGTCCTGGCCAGCACCACTACAGAGCATGGACTCTGGCATCACACTACACAGGTTCGAATCTAGCTACACCACTTAACTAGCTGTGTGGCCTTGGGCATGTCACTTAACTCTTCTATGCCTTTGAAATGTAAACAATAAGTAAACCGACTTCATAAGGCTATTTTGATGATTAAATGAGAAAATGCTTGTGAAAGGACTTAGAATAGTAACTTGCACATAGCTAGCACATATTGATAATTTTTTATTATGATGGTTATTAACAGTCTACATCTATAGACTGAGAAGAAGAAGTGGTAAGGGAGGAAATATTCAGAGTATAGGGGAAAGATGGGCAAGCCTATGGAGCCATCCCTGAAGGAGAAGGAGGAAAGGGAGGGGTACCTCCACTGGTGGCAGGGAGGGAGGTGAGGCTCCCTCAGGGACAGTGTGATGGGGAATAGATTTCAAATATCCCATTTGCCCTATTTCCTTACACCTCAAGAATAAAAAGGGCACAAAGGAAATAACTTTTCACTTCCTATCTGCTATGTATGCATGTGCCCACATGTACATGCACAGAAGTTGAGAAGAGAGTATGGTTCTGACTCTAGGGCCTGACTCAAGCTTTTCTTCATTAAATATTCTTCTCTTTAAAAAGAGTTGGATACAAAAATAATTCTTCAAAGAAGTAAATACCCCCAAACATAATTATATTTATCATTTGTCATTTAAGGATTCTGAAGTCAATAAATTTGTTAAGAAAAAATTTAACTTTGCTACAGATTGTGAGTTTATTTTATTGGTGTGTTATAATTATACATTATAGTGAGGTTAATTATGCCATGTTTGTACATGCACATGACATAACTTGATCAATCTCATTCCCTTTTCCCTTTCTTTCCCTTTCTCCTTCCCCTCAACAATCTAATATCAGATCTCACAAAACCCTACATTTAGAGGAGTTAGCCAGGCCACAAGAAAAGTGATGAAAGCTGGATGTGGGAGAAGGGAGGGAAAGTGGGGAAGTGGGAGTGAGTGTGCACATGCCTAGAAGAAGCTACTGTTCAGCTGGCACCAATGGTCGCCATGCAAAAATGTAAGTCAATGTTAACAGATCTTCCCATTTTTTCCAGAGACATCTGCCTTTTATGTGATACCGCTTGATTATTTGAGTGTCCACAACTAATCTGCCATTTGAAACAACATGCAGCCAAACCAAACATATCTGGGAATGAGATTCAACTCACTTTGTTTTTTCTAATTGAAGGTTTTTTGTCTTCATAGTGTGGGAATTAAACGATGTCTTATTTAAAAAAAAAAAAAAAAACCTCCCATTACTTGGCTTTTCAAATTTAGTAACAAACATTTCCTTTTGTTTGTAAATGCACACTTGGGCACTATCCAGGGCAGCCTGGACATCATCCTAGACCTAGCGCCTGGCTTTTTTATCCCATACATTTAACTGGTCATTGAGCTGTTGTCATGTTCTACTCTTCTCCATCTCCACGTTCAGCTTATCCAACTAGACTACTGCAACTGTCTTCTGACTGGGTGCCCACTGGGTAGAAGGGAAGATCCCTAAGCCTTCCCCCTGGCCCCCCAATACTGGAGATTAAGCTCAGGGTCTCATGCAGCTAGGCATGTACTCTACTATGTAGTTACACCCCCTTCTGAGCCTAGTCTTGAAGGTCCCTGGTGTCCAGAGTCCTAACACTTTCAGTTCCTGTCAGTCCTGCCCAATTCGGGCTTATGAGGTCATTCTCTTTTTCTTTTTTTTTTACATATTTATTTTTTAGTTGGACACAATATCTTTATTTATTTATTTTTATGTGGTGCTAAGGATCGAACCCAGGGCCTTGCATGTGCTAGGTGAGCGTTCTACCGCCTGAGCCACAACCCCAGCCCCTATGAGGTCATTTTCAATATCCAAAGCACACCATTCACATTTGGTCTTCACAGTTTTTGTTCTTGATGTTTGTTCAGCCTTAAAATCCTTTTCCTTCTTATCCACTTGGCTTATCCTTTCTTTTAACATTCAGTACCAGTGCTACCTTCAAAAACCTAAGTTTCTTAAACTTTGAGCTCTTACAGTTTTCTCTTTAGAGGGTTCTAGCCATTCCCAAATCTGTTGTGGGACATCTTCAGACAATTTGAGATAGCAAAGATTTAGAAATCTGCAAGTTCCTGGCTGGGGTAAGGGAGGCCATATGAAAAATGTAGGATCATGAAATGGAGGATTTGGGATTATTAGTTCAGTACAAGGCAGGAGCAGGGTGGAAAAGTGGGATCAAGGTGTCCTGAGAAAAAGTTTCCTGGAAGTGACTGATATGAAAAGTTAACTGGTGCAGTAGGAAGCTTAAGTTGGAATCTAGTTTCCAAGGCTAAGTTCAATGAATTGGGAAAATCATTTTACCTCTTTGTACCTCAGATGAGAATAAAAATTCTGTGTCTCAGAGAATTGTAATAAGAATTAAATGAAATAATGAATAACATGCATAGAAAAAAGCATATTTCTATACCCAGTTCAGTTGTCATCCTTTCCATAAAGCTTTCACTGACATTTCTAGCAGGAAATAATTGTGCTTTTGCTAAGCTCTGGAGTTATTTCTTCAGTTTACTTATTGTTCACATTTCATAGACGGGGAGATTTACATATCATAAGATTAATAAAATTCACAAGGAGGTCCTTCAAGGACTACAAACCAAGTTTGGAAACATGTCCAAACATGTCCAATGATCTCTCTTCACCCTTGGAACCTAGTTTATAAAAAGTACCCAATAGATATGTGTGAACCAAATGAAGAATAGGATGGGATTCATAGGTATATGCATAACTGATCTCTCTAATTAGACTCTAAGCTCCTTAATGGAAAGGACAACATATATATGGTATTCAATAATCTATCCCTAATACAGCATCTGGCACATAACATATTCCATAACTACCTATGGAAGAAATGAATAAAGGTTGGTATTTCCTTTGGTTTACTATGGGGCACTATAAAATTTCTAATCCCTAACCTCCCTTGCAAAGGGTTGGAGGCTCTTCTCATGTGTTCTTTTTTTTTTTTTTAAGAGAGAGAAGGGGGGAGAGGGGAGAGAGAGAGAGAGAGAGAGAGAGAGAGAGAGAGAGGGAGGGAGAGAGGAGAGAGAGAGAGAATTTTAGTATTTTTATTTTTTAGTTTTCGGCAGACACAACATCTTTGTTTGTATGTGGTGCTGAGGATCGAATCCAGGCCACACACATGCCAGGCAAGCGCGCTACCGCTTGAGCCACATCCCCAGCCCCTTCTCATGTGTTCTTATGATATCCCATACTTCTACTAGTATATATGGTACTTATTACTTTATTGTAATTGTTTACTCCCCTCATCAATTTCCCACTTGTTTATGGGGACTTTAATTACTTATTAACCTATGTCATTCTGGTACCTGGCAGAACCTAGAACTCACACAAAATATGTTGGGAAGATTAATGGGTAGGTGGATGGATAGGAATAGATTCAGATTCAATCTGTCTTTCAGGAAATCTCTCTAGTGACCAACTACACCTATCTGCTAGAAAGATAAATGAAAAGAATGAATGAGTAAATCACTGGCCAAGAAATGTTAAAGATAATGACTGCTAGAGAAGTTTCCAGTAACTTATAGAATATTGAACCTGGCTTCAGGTCTACACAGTACTTACTTGATCTTTGACTTTGGGAATAGCCCTTTGACTTCTTTTTTTTTGTGCTTCTTGACCTGTTTCTTTACCTGTAAAATAGATATTATAATTCCTCTTAGTCTGTCATTCAGAATTTTTTTAGAGAAAGAGAAAGAGAGAGGGAGGGAGGGAGGGAGGGGGAGAGAGAGAGAGAGAGAGAATTTTAATATTTATTTTTTAGTTTTTGGCAGACACAACGTCTTCTTTTGTATGTGGTGCTGAGGATCGAATCCGGGCCGCACACATGCCAGGCGAGCATGCTACCACTTGAGCCACATCCCAGCCCTGTCATTCAGAATTTTTGAACTTTGTTATAAATTATATCCTACTGTGAGCCTTCTGGTCCAAAATTTGTCTTGCAAGGGCCTAGGGGAAAAACCATAAGATAAAAGATCCAAGAAATAGCTGGATATAGATATAGACAGAGACAGAGGCACAGATGGGAAGAGGAATAGAAAGATAGTTTTTAATGACAATGAAGTATGGCTGGGTTGTTTAAATAAGATATAAAAAGCACAAAGGAAAGGAAGGGATCATTTACATGATCATTTAAATGAAATAAATTTCTATAAGATAAAAATAGTGAAGTCTCCCTCAAGGGTAGGGACTAACTGCTTTTGTTGCTAATGTGTTCCCAGTAGCCAGCACAATGGTTGTTTCATAGTAGGCACTCAATAAAACAGGTGTTAAGTGAATGAACATTTCAGTAACAGCACTTTCACTGTACTCTGATGTTAGGTCCTTGAATAAAGTCCCAGTTTTCTCTTGAATTAAAAAAAATAGTGAAGTCAAAGTTGAAAGATAAGATTTGGTCTGGGAAAAGATACTATTATGCATATAATGCAAAGGAAAATCAAACTCAAGCATACAGACCCAGATATAACTAATAAAAATTCCAATTTCCTATAAGGACTATTAGGTGAGAAGGTGTGGATCTATAACTAATGGGCCAAGAGGGGACAGAACTCCCAGGTGAGATTTGCTAGAAAGTAATACTAAGGGAAGTGTGAACTTTATGATAGAAAACCAAAAGTTTCTGACTTGAGGCTGCCTGTCTGGTTAAAGTCAGTTATCTCCAGTCTCTATCTCAAACTTGAAACTCATGCTAATCTGACTGTAGTACCTCCTGTCTTCAAAACATAAATATATATTCTCTTTCTCTTCCTTGTGCAGGTATATGTGCACACATATACAAAGAGGCAGGAATGTTCTCATCTGCTTCTGCACATATGTTCTTGTTTCATTTCTTTGGGACATCACACTTCTGTGCTTATTTTTTTGTCCAGCTCATAGACAACTTTCGTGTACCTCCTAGGTCTCAGGTTGACCCTTCTCTGTGCTACCACCTCAGGCCCACTTCTTAAGGAAGAACAGGATGGCACCCATTGGATGGGACTCTGCCACACTGTAATCTTAGCTGTAAGCAATATTGCATGTAGAATTCACATTTTCAGAGTGACAAATGTTTGCCAGTGTACCGCCTCAAGCCCACTTCTTAAGGAAGAATAGGGTGGGACCCATAGGATGGGACTCTGCCACACTGTATTATAACAGCCTGCTTCCTTGACTGTTCCTCTCCCCCAACCTCAGGCTGAGTCCTTCCAAAACCTGGCCTGGGTCCTACTTATCTCTATTCCCAGAACTTCATACAAGATTTGGCCTACAAAGGAGTCTAAATGAGTGTTAACTGTACTTAACTGAGCCACAAACAAAATGCTATAGGAGCACTTCATTCTATACGTAAAAAAGGAAAAACAAAGGTCAGGAAAGATTTCACAGAGCAAGTGACATTAGAGTTGGATATTTAAAAATGAGAAATGACATCATATGTGGAAGTTAGAAAGAAAAAGGGAAAAGAAATGTGGGGCGGGACCTCATGAAAATTTAAGGGAGATCAGTAGACTAAAGGAAATGGGGGGAGGGAAAGGGGAAATAGTGGGGAATTATATTGGCCAAATTATTCATATTGTATGCATGCACGAATATGTAAAAACAAATCACACTGTTATGTACAATTATATTGCACTGAAATAAATGTGAAAAAATGAGAAATTACAAAAGATGAACATCAACAACAAAGAGCTACAGGAGAATCCATCCACGTGGCCTTCCTCTCCCAACAGAGGTGAAGAAATCTAATCTGATATTATTTAATGGTCATTATTTTCATATGAATGTTAACTTTTTCAAGACAGGTTTTTGTCCATTTTATTCAGAGATGTATCCTGACTGACTAGAACAGGGCATGCTCCATATTAAACAATTCATTAAGAATTTGTTCCATTTGGATACTTACGACAGGGTCACAGGGATTAAAAAAAAAGGCACAATGAAATGTAACAGAGTAGAGTATAATGTAATACTACTGTGTGATAACTCTAGGTCTCTAGAGTAGTAATTGATTTTATCCCTCCCTTCCTCCCTTCCTTCCTTTTGTATTGTGGATTGAATCCAGGGACCTTTTACCACTGAGCTACATCTCCAATTCTTTTTTGTTTTATTTTTTTTTGAGACGAGCTTTTGCCAAGTTGCTGAGGGTCCCCCTAAGTTGTTGAGGATGGCCTTTACTTGTGATCCTCCTGCTTCAACCTCCTGAGTCACTGGAATTACAGGTGTGTGTCACCAAACTGGCTCAACCAGGTGTATTTTGTTCCCTTTGTATTCTTTAGTACAATGCCAGGTAATATTGGTGCTCAATAAATATTTGTGAAAAACCTTTGTGGAAAAACAAATTGATAATTGATTAAAATCTAGAATATGACTATATCCTAAAATTGTAAAAGCTCTTATATAACAAAACACAACAACAACAACAACAAAAAACCTGGCTTCAAACTGGGTTTTGATACATACTATCTGGCCTTGGGTAAGTTCCTTAGTTTCTTCATCTGACAGGGTGGTTCTGGCCTGGCAAACATTTATCACTCCGAAATGTGAATTCTACATGCAACATTGCTTACAGCTAAAATGACAGTCGCTTGAGAGAATAATTGGTTAAGTGCCCTAACAGGTAGGAAAGGATGAAGGATAGCTCTACCCTCGCTCCTTTGGAGACTCCACATCTGGGGCGGGAAGACTAAGTTACGCAAATGAAGTTTCCAGCCGCACCTGCCTCCGCCGTCGCTTCCGCCTTCGAGGGGTCCGCGGAGGCGACGACAGGGTCAGGCGGGACGCGCGCCTGCGAGGCTCGCGGAAATCTCGGAGCTGCTCCACGGTGGCGCTTGCCACTACCTTCCTTACTCCTTAGTAACCGCGACGCCGCGGCTGGCCGTGTAGGCAGCAACCGGTGGCCGGAGCTTCTAACTACAAGTCCCGGCAAGCTCCGCGGTCACTTCCGCTTATAACCTCGCGTCATCTCGCCCCGAACTACGGATCCCGGAGGACTCCGAGCGGCGCGTCACGCCGGCAAATTCAGCCAATCGGCTTCGGACAAGTCGGAGGGGAGGGAGACGCAGAAGCAGACAAGATGGCGGCGGCGGCGGCACAGGGCGGGAGAAGTGGTGGCGGAGGGAGTAGTGGGGCTAGTGGTGGCCCTAGCTGCGGGACAGGCAGCAGCCGCAGTGGCTTGTTAGATAAGGTAAGGAGTCAGTTCCTGGGGACAGTCATATCCTGGGGAGCCTTGGGGAGCGGCGAGACCACCTTCCCATCCCCGCCCCCTTATTTTTGCGGCCTCTTGAGGAAAACCCTCGTCTAGCCCACCGACACGGGCTTGTAGCCCGCACGTTCCCCACTTCAAGCCCGAACTTTCACCTCTTCAGGGCTTCTTTGTCAGAAATGTCCCTGGTCCTTAATGCTGGCCACCACAGCTTTTCATAATTTGATTATTCCCACACATCAACGTGGCCATCACTTTTCCCTTGTTCTGGTGTCCACCGTACAAAGTGCCCTTCACAGACAGGGAAAACTGAAGCCCAAAGAAATTAAGGAATCTACTCGAAGTTGGTAAACCGAAACTCCTCACTACATCACCCTTGTGTGCTGCTGCAGATTCCAAACGCTCCTTCTGTCTTTGCTGAAGTTTCTGGGCATTTTTATCACGCTAATAATGAAAACATTTAAGTGTTGACTTAACCTGCTGGGCTGAAAAGAAACCTTAAAGATTTTTCCCTTCATGTCTTCTTTACCCTCTGCCCTCTTTTCTCTGCCTGTTTGCAAGCGAGTGCACTACTGTATACTACTGCTTGCCTCTTTCCTTCTGTGCCCGCCCAGTTGTTTGTTTGGGTTTTTAATTGTTGTTTATTTTTTTAACCGCACACTCAGTAACAAGGGTTTAAGGGATAAAGGGGGGGGGCAGGTAGAACTGTTCCTGGGTTGTCTTTTCTTAGTCTTTGTACAGTATGCAGGAAGAAATAGTTTCAGGGAAGCAAGAGTCCTAGTATTGGTTCTGCGTTTAGCTCAGTGACCTTGATACACGCTTGCTCTTCCTACGTTTATTCTTCTGCAAAATGAGGAATTTAACCTAAATGTACCCTAGGGTCTCTTTCATCTAGTAAACAAGATTTTTTACTTTCATTGGGAACAACAACTGTCAGATTTTCCTGTGCCTAATATATAGTATGTGCTTAAGAAATGAATACATGATGGTGTGGAGAGGCTCAGATCCAGATCTTTTTGTCTTTTTGAGTTTCCAGGTTTGAATTACATGGTTCTAACACTTTTAACCCTTAAAGACAGGAATGCATTCTGGAGGCCTGCACGGTAAATTTTTCCAAGACATGTGAGAGCATTGGGAATTGATGGACAGTTTTATATACAAATTCTGAGTACCTCACAGCTGGTGATTGTTTCCCCCCCTCCCCACTAGCCTTCCTCTACCTTCCAGTTGTATCATCAAATATTAAGCATGGGCCTTCTGCTGAGGCAGAGATTACTGAATAAGGTGTCCCTTTGTGTGTGCTGGGATTTGGTTCCAGGAGCCCCTGTGGATTTTGATAACTGGAGGATGCTCAAGTCCCTTAGGTAAAATGGTGTGGTATTTATATATGAGCTGCACATCTCTAATATGCTTTAAATTACCCGTAGATTACTTATAGTGTATAATGTAAGTGGTATGTAAATAGTTGCTGTGCTGTATTTTTTAGGAAATAATGACAAGAAAAGAAGTATACCTGTTCAGGACAGGTTTTTTTTTAGAATGTTTTTCTTTCATGGTTGGTTAATCTGTGAATCTAGAGTCTGGATTTGGAGGGCCAGCTGGGTACTACATGGCATCATTATGTTATGGGAAGAACCTGGATTGAAGTATATCTGCTCCTTGGAAATAATATGAAGACTGGCAAGCCAGTTAATCTCACTAAGTTTCTTTTCTCCATCAGAAATATTAGGTCTCTGGCACCTACATTACAGATTGTTTTGGGAGAATTAAATATGACAATATACATTAATAATCTCTGATTTCTGTCATGTCCAGTACAGATGTGTGATGGTGGAGGAATAAATACATCAACAATACTATTTCTGTGGTGCACTCCTGTTATCCCAGTGGGTTAGGAGGTTGAGACAGGAGGATTGCAAGTTCAAAGCCAACCTTAGCAACTTAGTTAGGCCCTAAGCAACTTTGAAAGACCCTCTCTCAAAATAAATAAAAAGGGATGAGGATATGGCTCAAGCGCTTATGGATTCAATCCCTGATATCAAAAAAAAAAAAAAAAAAGAGAGAGAGAGAGAGAGAATACTAAATAACTGAATGTAAGAGATGAGGTAGTCAAAATGTTAAATATATTTAAGAAATATATGGTGTATTCAAATGTATACTTTCTTTTTGGTACTGGTGATTGAACTCTGGGATACTCGACCACTGAGCCACATCCCCAGCCCTATTTTGTATTTTATTTAGAGACCATCTCACTGAGTTGCTTAGCATCTTGCTTTTGCTGAGGCAGGTTTTGAACTCACTATCCTCCCATCTCAGCCTCCTGAGCTGCTGGATTATAGCTATGCACCGCTGCGTCCGGCCTCAAATGTATACCTTTTGCAGAAATTTAAGTGAGAAAGAATAGTCCTTAGATCTAATTGATAAGGGTGAGGGCTCTAGAGGAAGGCCTCTTAGGTCTGAGAGTGGAGATCAGACCTTAATTTGAGGGAGAGAGGAAAAGCATATCAGCTAAGAAAGTCTCCTTGAGCGAAGATGATCAGAATGTGAGGGTCCCTTAGGTTTCTCAGGTAGTAAGTTAACTGGAAGGTTCTCCAAGGGGATTATAGTGACAAGTAAAATCAGATTGGGGTGGGCATGGTTTGCTTGAAGTTGGAGTAGAAGTTGTTGATGGTCTTTGAGACTGTATAAAGTGATTTAAAAGGAAGTTATTCACATTGTTTGGAGAGGTAGAAATTAGAAGTTTTCTAACAAAGGACCTATGCCATACTAGTGATTTCATGGAAAGAAAGGTAAGTTTGAATTCTTGGGTAGCATGCTAAAAGCCACATAGCCTTAGATAAGGAAATTCAAGTTCAGTAATATATAACTTATCACAATAAGTATTGTGGATGTACATAGTCTTGTAAAGATTAAATTATATAATATTGATAAGTGTTCTTTATAAAGGGCTACATAAAAAGTGATGAGAAACAAAAGTGATGAGAACGCCAACTTGAGTAGTAGAAATAGATAAAAAGGCCTCACACAGGAGCACTTGAAAGTTTTAACCAATAAGCGAGGGACAGAAGAGAGAGAGTACTCAGGAACTGTTTAAGTGCTTTTTCTTGGAAAATTTCATTTCAGCCTTACATTGAATTCTAAATTTTGCTGACTCTTACTGCACATGGGAATTAAGCTGTCACCTAGTATGTCATACTGTATTGTATTTCTTCACTCATTTTGTTTTTGTTCAGTTTCCTTTGAAGGATTCTCTATAGTGCTCAAGACAGTAACTACTTACAGCATTGATTTTAGCAGAGAAAAAAACTACGTAAGTGTTCAGAAACAGCTTAGAGGATGGTGTATTTAATTGTATGAAAACTGAGGGAACTGAGGGTACTGTGGGAGAGAGCATGAGAAAATTGCTTTCAGTGGAGCAGGATTGGAATGAATAGAGAAGCTTTTGGTTTGAGGGAACAAGAGGCTGGTACCTTTAATAGTCCTTTATTTTGATGTATCTTGATTTTGTGGGGGAGGGTTTTGATTTCTGCAGCTGAAGTTTCATTTGCCATAAAGAATTGTCATAAAGTGAGGCACATGCTTCTAGTTTTCTCTTAAACAGATGTGAATTTCTGTTCTTCTGAAACTGTTTTTAAGAATACAACAATTCTTGTTTCCTGATTTTAAAATAAGTATGCAAATCTAGTCTTCCAGTGCCCTTTACATAATGACTTGACTTAGTTAATTGCACAAAGTTGCTTCACCCAAAATACATCAAGGCGTTTTGTTCTGAGTGGCAGCTGTAAATAAAAACTGCTTGCATAATTTGTTTTGGCTATTAACGTTGATTTGTTAAACTATGCTTTCCTGAAGCTGTATCCAGGCTTTTTTAACCTCATATTTATATGAGTCTGTCTTTGGCTGAGCTGTCAGCCTGATTTTCTATCTTAGTGGAGAGCTTAATTTCTGGAGCTAAACTTGTCTGTTTAGCTTTGAATTCTGGCTCTGCCACCTACCAGATGTGCTTCTTGGGCAAGTTAATAAATCTCTCTGTATCTCAGTTTCCTCACCTGTAAAATGGGGATAATAATAATATTTGCCTTAAAAGTTAGTATTTGGCACAAAGTAAGCACTCAAGAAAAAAGTACACATGTACAAATATATATAATTCCCACTTATAGCTGGTTCTTCTGGGTTTCAGCTTCCTTAGATAAATAAACATCACAGTGTGAGGTCTGGTTACATAAAATTCCCTTGGGTATTAGTTAGGAATAATAGATTTCTGGACCTTTTCTCACATGAATTTGATCCTGTTGAGTCAAGGCCTGGACATTGCATTTTTCACACATATCTTGTATTTATTCTGCATTTTAACAGTGTTCTTCATGTTGAGAAATACTGGTCAGATTCTGGGTATATTTTGAATGTATGGCCAAAAATATATAAGGATGGTAAGAGTGTATAATACAAGGCAGAGAAAAGAATCAAGGATAACATGTTTTTGTTCCATAAACTGGATGAGTAGAGATGTCTTTTATTGAAATGAGAATGACTGGGAGAAAAACACTTTTGAGGGATAAGCAGAAATCAAGAATTTGATTCTCCCTGGTACAGTGACACACACCTGCAATCCCAGCTATTCAGGAGGCTGAGACAGGAGGATTGTAAGTTTGAGACCAGTCTGGACAACTTACTGAGACCCTGTCTCAAAAGAAAACATTTTAAAAGTCTGGGGATGTAACTCAATGGTAGAGTGCTTGCCTAGAGTGTCTGAGGCCCCAATCCATCCCCAGTACCAGCAAAATAAAAGAATTGGACTCTGGCTATTTAAGTGGAGAGGGCAAATGATGTATAGGAGATGTCCAGTTTGGAAATGTGGAAGTTATCCACCTGTACATGGTACTTAAGCCCTAACACTTGGTATCACCTTCGGATGAGTATAGGCAGAGAAAAGGACCTAAAATGAGCTTAGGAGCTTGCCAATATTTATAGATCAGGAAGAA